TATATATATATATATATATATATATATATATATATATATACAAGCCCACAACCTTGGGCGTTAGATTGTTAAAACAATACTGCTTTCGTATAAAATTGTACAATGGGAGGTGCGCACTGCATCATTGATAGTTAAAACATTAAAACTGGTCACTAGTGGGAATTGATTCAAATTTCCCGGTGAAGATGATCGAGAAGTCCGCTTTTTCTTTCAGTCAAATCCAACTCGTTTTTCGAAAGCCCACTCATCTAGGTAAAGATTTTAGTTGCTCCTATAGAGCTGTCTCATTTTCTTCGGATAAACGTTTCAAACATAGCATTGATGAACCATGGCTTATCACAATAGCCTCGTTTACGATTCATAATTGACTGTTTATTGGTTCTTGAATGACGTTTTACATTAACCAGACTCCACATAACTCATCTCTGAGCGGATCGCACAAATCGGAATACTTCGATTTACAGTTTCGTTGATGTTACCTTTGACATTGTTCGTGAACCCTCGGTGATAGTTATTCCATCACTCTTTCCCTGCATTTACCTCCTATCCCGAACACGAAAGCGTCCATAATAAACCGAACTCATCGAGTTTACAGCCAAAATGTAAAGTTGTTGTTAAAAGAAGTAACCAGTTTCACTGTCACTTAAATTTCTTCAACTGCATAACTGAATCGACTGATGGTATCTTTTAAAACCTTTTTCCCTGTATCGTCACATGTGGAAAATTGGATAAGGTTTTTTCTCACCTTTTTCGTTCTCTTGGCTATCTCGTCTTCATACAACAAATGATTAAATATGGTGACTTTATAAAGCCTTCCGGGAAGGTTGGACCGTTTTCGTTCTCAGCTTTTGTTTTGATTTCTATCCTTTTGTGATTAGCACAAAGCTGTTCATCCAAGTATGAAGTTTGGCACCAAGATCAATTGGTCTGGTGTGGTCATTCTTTCTACGGTCTTGATTTCTGCACTTGCTTTACCATTGTTCAGTTACCGAGTCCGGTCAGTTCAGTCATAAAATTTGTAAAGTGAAAGTAATCATTGAAAAGACCACTACTTTCTCCGTGATCGTCAAGTTTACCATATTGTTTACCGAAGAATGTTTGTTATCATCAACAAACAAAATTCAATAACCACTGGAACTCCATTTCATTAGTTTGCTTGTCGCTATATCTGATGGATACTAATGTTGTTTTGTCTCAGATCAAATCTTCGCAATCTTCCGTTCAATCAGCTCCACTTGAGCTGAATTGAACAATAAAGATGTTTCTATGCTTACGTGGATTTCCGGTTCAAATACCACTAAATACCTTTTAGAAGCTGAAGTTGACTTCCGGTCAAGACAATTATTTATTATCCTCATCCGAGGTGTTCTTTTTAGGGATCACATGCAAGCAATTCATTTTTGTTTTCTCCGACTTACTTTGCCTTAAGTTTGATTTCATTTTTTATAAACTTGTGAAATTTTGTTTGAAACCGGGAAATATTGTGCTTTTAAAGTCCCTCCATCGCATAGGACAAGAAAATATGGGGCGGTATATAGAATTTATCCCAGCGATGGTTCTCATCTATTTACTGATTTTTCTCTCTCCCTTCCCCCCGTTTTAGGTACATCGGAAACCTGTTGTTACTGATCAGTTGCCAACACGAAAAGTTCGGGCATCAAATACAGAAGCACGTAAAAGAGGCAATCGGGAACGAGTTAAATCCTCTCATCTATCCTATTTTGTTCAATCAACTTCGTGCCCATGTTGATGCATGCTTCTCTGGTCAAGGTCAACAACAGGTCGTTGTCACCGAGACAAATACGTTGTTTATCGAAAATGTGATATTTATCATGCGCAGTATTTTGGATAAACGGACAAAACCGGTGGATCGGACCAACGGACATTTAGAGGTTGTGAGCATTGAAAGTTTGATGCTCAACATCGTTCGGTAAGGAAATGACGCAGTTATTTTAGAGATGAAGATTTGCAATTCCGGTGCCGACAGAATGGCTACCGGATAAGCTAGACTAGATCAGTTCTCCTACAATTTGCTCCAACTTATTATTTGCAGTGCACTAAAAGGATTTCGATGAACGGAGATGTGTAAATGGCAATTTTCAATCAGTTTGGTGACGGACAATCACACGTGGGGTCACATGCATGTTTTCATCCAACCACCACCACCTGACTTTCACCATTATCTGCGTGCTATGTGGCAGCTATTTGATTGACCATTTTCCCCTTCCGGAAAATTATATGATTATATGTTCAATAAAAAAATTTTTAAATGTCGAAAAGATCTTACTGCTTGCCACACTGAATCATGCAATAACAAAGCTGAATCGACTACACTGTTTACCATATATTGTGCTCCTCAACATGATTTTCTGTCTCTGTTAGTTGTATAAGTTGTGCTGAACCGGATCCGGTAATTATAAGGCTAAACCCATGATGACCTCTGAAACACTTCTAATCTGTTTGCAGAAAATTGTATCACCTGTAACATGCAGGACTTAGCCCACCGCTACCACCGATTTGTAATACACAGCGGGAGGTTGATTTCGGGTAACACGATCGGAGTTTCTGGTGCTAATAGCGCTGTCTGAATGTCGCAAACGAAACCCTGTTTGGGGTGTCCAACCAACTCGTAAACAAAGATCAGCACAGACACTCAATGCACAGGTAGGAGACACTTCAGACAACAGGTTCTCCGTAGAAGGGGGATTTCCAAATGACCTGCAAGACAGGGGAAATACAAAACAATCATAAACCAAAAGCTCCAATGAGACCAGCACACGACGCACACTCAATCCAAAATGGCGGCGACATGATCAACTTGCCTAGCGTTACACGCCTTCTTGTGTCAATAAAGTATTGAATTTATTCTTTTTCATGGATGTCTTCATATTATTATGAAACAACTGCTCAATTGAGTACTTTCACAATAAACTGTTAGTTACATAATCTGTCAATAGTGAAAGGGCGCTTTTGCGTATTTTCATTTTAACAACTAACTAACTAACAACTGCTTACCCTTGTGTATTTTAGTTACGTGAGGCACTTGGAATGCGTTCATTCGTTGCAAATCAAAATCAAAGTTTGTCAACTCGTACAAAAAATGATGGCTCGTCGTGAAGATTTAACATTTCGGCAGGTAGGTAATTCTTATATGATGCTCTTTCGTGCTTTCATTACTTGCCGTTTTAGTTCCAAATCAGTATAACCTTTCTAAAATATTTTCAAAGCAAAGGTTGATGAATAACGGGATTAAGTCAAGTATCCTACTCGGAAATAAGTGGAAATTTTTAACGTGTATTTGAATAAAAAGTTAATGCTTCTGCAAGCTAGGTCACCCACTTCTTGAGGCTGCATTCATTACCATTCACCAGCTGTTCTGGTTAGGTCAGGACCTATGGCCAGCTTTCTCCATCCTTTGACGCTGAAAAGTATCAATATGTTGCTTGGTTACATATGACTAATGACAACTTCAACCTCACATTATTTGAGGAATTTCATCAATAACCCTGACTTTTGTACTTGCCTTGTAGTGTATTTTCCCTTCTTAAAATTTAGTTTATCTATTCTCTTCGTTGTAGGAAATGCGCTTCCGAAACAAACTAGTAGACTATTTGTGTGACTGGGTTATGGGAAGCAGTTACCACCTGAACTTGACCAGTCCTTCAGGGTATACATCTAATGCCGGTTCGAACGCAACTGGTCCCGTTTCTGGAGTGAATGTTGCCGTCACTGGACAATCTGCTAATACTGCTGGATCAGTTGGTGTATATGGCTCCACCACAGGTTCACACAGTCACCTGGGTCTTGTTGGCCCCGCCGGGATGAACCTAACCAATGTGGGCACATTATCCACTAACCTTGGTCCTGGATGTAATATTGTGTTTTCCACACCCAATTCTGGAGCCTCGAACTCGAGTCACATAGGCACCGCTTCAGGCGGTGGGAATACCGCGCAGCTAATTGGGATCCCAGTAAACGTAGCTACGTTCAGTGCAGTAACTGGCCAAGTACAGCCTCAATCGGACCCCTCTGGTTCAATGAATCCGGGTTCAAATGTGTGTGATCATCCCACCGTAAATGCCAATTCGGGGCACAATTTGACCGGATACACCATTCCAGTCGGGGGACAATTATCCGCTGGACATGGACCCACTGCGAATTTGACCAACACCGGAGCTCCCAGTTTCGTCCTATTTCTGAACTCAGCCGCCACCAGTGGCAGTGCATCAACAGAGACCGCTGGTACACATCAAACAGGTCATGTAGGGCTTGGAAACTCCCTGCCGGGGGCAGTGCAAATGGGGGCTCCGAATGTTGCCCTCAGCGGAATTCAAACAGCTGTATCAGGTACAACAACCGGTCAGCTAATAGGTCTAAGTAGCGCTGTCGGAAATATGGGCAAGCTACACACCTTACCCTTATTAGCCGGGAGTATTGTAGGTCCCAGTATTGGCTATCTAAATGCACTTTGTCATGTGCAAGCTAATTCATCCTCGACTTCTTCTGGAACCAGTGCGCAATCCATTACCGTACAAAGCCTTGCAAGCGGACAAACTGCCGACACGGGGGCAAGCTTCCCAGGTAATGTGGCTGCCACCAGCACCATTCCAACTGTAAATGCATGTCAGGTCCAGTCTAGCGGATCCACATACGGCTCGGGCGGGAGNCTGCACCAGCTACCGGACTAGCCACACAAACGGTCATGCAAACACGCGAATTGGATTTGGCGTGCATGGAAGCAGTCGCAGCTCTGTTGCAGGGCATGCCTCTCCAGCCTGAAGAGGCCGAACGTGGGGATCTGATGGACGCGAAATCCCATCTTTTTGCCAAGTAATTTTTTACCTTTTATTGTAGTTTTCTATCCGTTTTTTCATCTCTATCACACTAGCACCAACTTTGTATTCCTTACAATTGCAGGGTTTCATTCCTTATTGTGTTGTTACACTCACGAGTGAGCTTTCTACATTACCTCTAATGCAATTTCTACGTTTTCAATAGCGCTTTCTTCTCTTGATCACAAGCATTTGCACAGCTAGTCTATGCTAACTGGTGACCGCCGTATTTACTTGACGGAATCTTGGCGTTGCTTTTGATGCCTTCCCTCATTCAGTATAAAGTAGTATAGGAATTTGATTTAAAAACTCAGAAAATTTCCACTTCCTGTTCAATATTAGAGGATCTATAGATCGCCGGCTTGCGAACAAGCGTGGTGCCCTCGTAGCATCAATAATAACATAAGATTGGGAGTTTGTGATACAGAACCTGGCGATATGGAGATCAAACGATCACTGTAGGTAAGGATAACAGGAATGTTACTGTAATTTATTGTTTTGGGTCCCATCAAGGGCAAAATAGCTGTCCATGCCTCTTTGTTGGTCATTGCACAACTGTTCCTGCCGCGGTTGTAAATGTAACAGCTGTTTGTAGATGGTGATCTTAGTTATTAACTGTGGTTGGCTACTATTTCTCCGTATATTCAAACCTTTGACTAGTTGGGCACCTAATAATATAGGACAACTTGTCATTAATTTCAGTTTGTTTGCCTGCATTTCTACGCTTAAGTTCTGGTTCAGTTTGTTCGGCTACCTACTTGATTGCGCAGCGGAAGAAGTGAAAATAAGTAGTGGGTTATTGGTATTAAAAATACTTAAAAAATATAGAATGGAAGAATGCTTGATGAAAATTGTTACCCCCAGTATCAGGGTTCACAATACTTAATCTTATTGGTAGCCATCAACTGTTTATGTCCTGCTTTTCTTAGGTATTTCACTTTATTCATGAACCTGTTGAATGATGTGGCTGACGACCGTGAAAAACGACCGGAGGTGCGCCAGAATAACACTGCCCTTCGAAACGTAACCGTTCAAGCCATGTCCAACCTGCTGAACGCAAACATTGAGTCCGGTTTGGTGCATTCAATCGGTAAGTTATATGTTGTTCTGTTTCATCGCATACATCTCCTTTTTATCGTATGAAGGTTACGGCTTT